TATTCCGTCGAAAATCCCCCTGTAGGGGGACACGCCCGACTTAAAGCTAGGTGCGTTCGCGTCGTGTCTGACTCAGGAGGGGAGAAAAGACACGCAGACACAAGGAATCGTCGACTCCCAGGAAGATATGGGAAAATATGGGAACTGGTGGGGAAGACGAGGATCCAGAACATATGGGGAAATATGGGGAATCCTAGGATTTGCGTGTGTATTTGCTTGCGTGTCCTTGGGCCCCTTGACTGGCGTCCTACCCCTCCCTCCCATCCCTTGCCATAGCGTAGAACTCAGCTCTGTTCGCACAGTCGGATGTAGTAGCAGGGCATACCATTATATGACGTAGCACGGTGTTGAAGATCAACGCGTAGCCTGACATAGCATGGCGTGGCGACGCCACAAAGTGTGCAGGGGTCTGCGGCCCAAAAAATCAACGAATCGACACCGAATGTGGAATCACGTCCGATGGTTGTTTTGGGGAGCCATTTTCTAGATGTTGGAGCCGATTTGGAAGGACTGAAAACCATGCCGTGGCATGGCGCTGGAAATAATGACGCCAGCGCTGCAGCGGGAGCACGATTCGGAACGAGCGGAAGCGCGGAAATGAGGCCAGCGCTGCATTGGGAGCTTCCGAGGACGCGTAGCCAGACATAGCATGACCTTGCGACGCCCCAAAGTGGGGGGGCTTTGCGACCCCAAAAATCAACGAATCGGCACCGAAAGTGTAATCACTTCCGATGGTTGTTTCGGGGGGGCATTTTCTAGATTCCTCTCGCTTCGCGGGGTGCCCGTCCGGAGCACGTGCAGGCCAGTCGTTTCGGGGTCTGATTGGAGGCCCTTGGGGCATTTAGGGGGGACCGTATTGAGGGCCTTTGGGTTGTCTTGGTGCGATCTTGGGGGCCTTTGGGGCTCCACTGGGCGTCTTCTAGCTCCAACGCGCGAGCATTCCCAAATCCTTCAACATTTACTGGAAGTCAATGATATTTGCCTCTGGAGGCCGTTGTAGGGGCTCTCTTGGAGCCCTCTTGGGGCGGCTCGGGGGCCTCTTTAGACCGGTTTGAAGCAATGTTGGACCGTCTTGGGGCGGCTTTGGGCCGTGTTTGTCTGGGAGCGTTATTGGGGAGCTCCTGGGTCGTCTTGGGTCTGCCGGAAGCTCTAGTCCGCGCCAGAGTGGCCTGTCGTTAGCGGCCGCAGGAAACAGGAGTAGAATTGGCGCAGTGGTGTGGGACGGTTTTGCAAGCCCGTCTGCCGCCACGTGGGTTACGCACGCCGTGCACGCCGTCCTACCGTCTCGGCGTCGGTCGGGAGGCCTGTTGCACGCATCGTGGAAGTTATCCGGCGCCTCTGGGGCTTCTGCAGGGCCCCTTTGAGCTGCTCGGAGTCTGTCCAGTCCAATCCTTCGGAGACCTCTTCGGCCCCACTTGGAGAACTCCTGGGGGCTTCTTGGGGGCCTGTTGGACGTGTCCAGTCCAATCCATCGGAGACCTCTGGGGCCGCTCTTGGAGGGTTCCTTGGGGCTTCTTGGGGGCCTGTTGGATGCTTCCTGGGGGGCCTCGGGGGGATTCCTGGAGGTCTCTTGGGGGAGTGTTGGGCCGTCTTCGGGCAATATTGCGCTGTCGAGCCCGTTCGCCGTCCTGGGGTCCTCTTGGGCCGTCTTGGGGGTCCGTTCGGGGGCTGTGTGGGTTGTTGTGAGGCAGTGTTGGAGGCTGCTTAGGCCGTCATGGGCCTCTGAGGGTCGAAAGAGACGAAGGCGCTAAAGTCGAACAAAAACCATATGAAAAAAAAATTGCTTTGGAGGCGCTCTTGGGGGACCTCTTGGGGCCGTCTTGGGCCTTTTTGGGGCCTTGTTGGGCCCCCTTGGGACCATTTTGGGCCGTCTTGGGGCCGTCTTGGCCCGCGCAGACGCCATCTTGAGCCGTCCTGGCGCCCTCGTGGGCCCCCAAGAGGCCCAAGAAACCGAATTCATGGATTTCACATAGGTTTGGGAAGGCTTGGGGCCCCAAAAGGGGGTCGCCAGGTTGGCCCGATGGATGTGGCGTAGCCCCTGGGGGGGGTTAGGGGGGGAGGTATAGTGATGTAACACCAGACAACACGTAGCAATTACACAATGAAAGGACGCAGCGGGTACATTGCATTATCGCCTCCGCAGAAAACGCCGCCGTTCAGCACGTCACTTCCGGACGTGGATTCCTCTCGCTTCGCGGGGTGCATGTCCGGAGTACGTACATTGAAGTCGTACAGTGAGGCGTTTGGAGGGCCTTTTTGGGCCGGCTTGAGCTCTCTTCGGCCGCCTGCGGGCCCTCTTGAGGGCCCTCTAGAGGGCTTATTGGGCCGTCTTGGAGCCATTTCGGAGGCTTCTTGGGCCGTCCTGGGGCTCGGGGAGTCGACAAAGGCGAGAACGCCAAAGTCTTTCAAAACTCAATAGGAAATCAATGATGCTTGTTTCTGGAAGCGCTCTTGGAGGTCCTCTTGGCGCCCTCTTGGGGCGTCTGGTTTTTTTTGGCGGCCCTCTTGGGGCCATCCTGTACAGTCTCGGTCACGTCGTCGCGGGGCCTATTGGGAGCCTCTTGGGGGCCTCCTGGAGGCCTCTTGGGAGCTTTTTTGAGCCTCTTGGGGACGTCTTTGGGGCCTCTCCTTCCTCCCTCCTTTTCATACTCCCTCCCCATATCCCCTTCCAGCGCCAGCTCTAATCGTGGGCGCCGCCGTGACCAACTTCCACCTGGCTGGCGCTGCGCCGCACTTCGCCCAGGGGGGAAAAGGACAGTACACTCCAATCGCTTTGTGGGCTTTGGGGGGTTTCTATGGGGCCTTTTCGGAGGCTTCTTGGAGACTTCTTGGAGGCCTCTTGGGGGCTTATTGGGGCCCCTTGGGGGCCTTTTTGGGGCCTCTTGAGGCCTCTTGGGGGCGTCCTGGGCCGTCTTAGGGCGTTTTTCTGCTGTGTCGCCCCTCCGAGGCCGTCTTAGGGGCCTTTCGCGGCCGCCTTGGGGCCCTCTTGGGGTCCTCTTGGGCCGCCTTAGGGGCCTCTTGGACCGTCTTGGGGGCCCCTTTGGGCCGTCTTGGGGCCCTCTTGGTGGTTTTGTGGGTTGTTTTGGGGCGATGTTGGAAGCTGTTTGGACCGCAGAAGCGAGAACGCTCAAATATCGCCAAAACCATAGGACAATCAATGATTTGGGCTTCTGGAGGCGCAGTTGTGGGCGCGCTTGGGGCCCTCTTGGGCCGTCATTGAGGTTTTGTGGGCCCTCTTGGGCCCATCTTGAACCGTCTTGGCGCCCTCGTGGCCCCCCAAGAGGCCCAAAAGGTCGAAATCATAGATTTTACATAGGTTTTGGTACGCTTTTGAACCCCAAGTGGGGGTTTCCATCTTGGGTCGACGGATGTGGCGTAGCCCCTGGGGGGGGGGAATTAGGGGGGAGACATAATAATGTAACGCAATACAACATGTGGCAATCATGCAACAATCGGATACATCGGTTACGTTGCACTATCGCCTCCGCAGGAAACGCTGCCGCTCAGCACGTCACCTCTGGACGTGGATTATATAGGCTTACGCCACATCCGCCGACCCCTTGTTTCTGTATAGCCTTTATCGCTGGCTCCAGTGGACGCCTTCACGGCGGCGGTATGTGGTTTCATGAGTAGTGTGTTTTGGACTAGTCGTGGTTTCGGGGTCGTGTTCGAGAGGCACGAAACTTGGTCATTCCCGTGGCCTGTTGCAGATGCGGATAGGAGTGACGGGCTGCATCGAGAACGAGTTCCGCGGCAGGGGCACATCAGTGGCGCGCTCGGGGCAGATTTGGAAGGACCAGAAACCATGCCGTGGCACGGCGCTGAAAATAATGACGCCAGCGCTGCAGCGGGAGCACGATTCGGAACGGGTGGAAGCGCGGAAGTGAGACCAACGCTGCAGCGGGAACACCATTCATGAGGCCGGCGCTTCAGCTAGAGCAGCATTTCAAAACAAAAACCCAAGCGAAAACCCGTTTCCCGGGAATCTTGTGTGAACAAAAGCAGTACGCGGAGGGGGGGCGGCCATTGCCCGGACGCCACAAGGGGGGAGAGGAGAGTAGTATTCATATTGTTCGATTGTGGAGGGGGGGAGGGAGGGAGGGAGGGAGGGAGCAGGAACGCGACGCGCGGCGCTGCGGACCCGGGGCGAGGACCCAGCACAGGAATGGCCGGGGCCACGGCGGCGCGCGGATTCTTTGACGAGGGCCGGGGGAACGCGCACGCGGGGGCGGCGCGAGGGGAGCAGCAGCCCAGCATGTCCAGGGAGGCGGGCCGGTTGCCCCTCCGAGAAGGCCCCCGCCTTCCCAGAAGGGCGCCGCCCCCCCCCCCCGCCTTTTCAGAAGGGCCCCTCTCCTCCCCCCGTCGCCTCCTTCTCACAAGGGCGCCCCCCCCCCCCCCCCCCCGTTGCCTTCTCAGAACGGCCCCCCCCCCTTGGCGCCCTGTCAGAAGGGCGCCACCGCCCCGCCTGCCCAGAAGGGCGCCGCCCCTCCTCCGCCTGCTCAGAAGGGCGCGCCCCGCCCTCGCCTCCTCTTGGAGGGGCGCCCTTCAGAGAAAAGGCGGGGGGGGGCGCGCCTCCTCGAAGTGCCTTCTCCGGGCGGCTGTCGGCCAGGCAACGGCATGGGTCTCCTCCCCCCTCCGGTTCCTCTCCTCCCTCCTCCTCCTCCTCCCCCTCTTCCTCCACCTCTTCTCCTCCTCTCCTCCTCCTCCTCCTCCTCCTCCTCCTCCTCCCCTCCCCCTCCTCCTCCTCCTCTCCCTCCCCCCTCCCCCTCCCCTCCGATTCCTCCCCCCTCCGATTCCTCACGCTGCCTCCTTCCCACTCGGCCTTAAGTCGGGCATGTCCCTCTCTCTACAGGAGGGAAACCCAAACATAGTCCAAAAATAGTCTGGGGACGATCGTATGATCATTCTTGACTGTGTTCGAGCATGTTTTGACAATTTTCATGTTTCGTCAGAATTTCGCTTGCAGGAGGACATGACCGACCTAACACTTTGCATCCGAGGAAACCATAGACAACTGCACGCTGTGGAAGATGGCCGTGGTGGGACTCATGTGGGTCCTCATCGCCTACATGCACGAGGGGGCCATGGCAAACCGGCACAGCTTCCACATCGCCGCGAAGATGATGGCCCGGGGCCGCCCTCCCCTGGCATGGAGGGAATGGATCTTGAGGGAAAGGGGTCCGGGAAACGAGGATGAGGAGGAGGGCGGAGGAGGAGGAGGAGGAGTAGAAGAAGGAGGAGGAGGAGGATAAGAAGAAGAATAAGAAGAAACAAGAAACAACACTATTATGACAATTGGTAATAATGATAACAAGATGAAGGAGAAAAATGAGAAGAAGAAGGAGAATAAGAAGGAGAATAAGAAGGAGAAGAAGAAGGAGAAGGAGGAGGAGGAGGAGGAGGAGGAGGAGGAGCAGGAGAGGGAGGAGGAGGAGGAGCCCGGGCTTTTCCCAGCTTTCCCCAGGGGCCAGCTTCTCCTCCCGAGTCATTGTTCGACACCCCTGGGGCCCTGATAGCCCGAAAGCGGCCCATGAGCTCAGGACCTGTCTTCGTCAGGACCCGTTTGTTTCAGATCAGGAGGTCCGCGCAGAGTTTTTAGATTGCTGGACTCCCCTTACATGCGCTCCTGTGGCGTCGCCGGAGGCGCCACCAGAGGAGCCCAGCGCCGATCTTATGTCTAACCTTCGACGTTTATGTTTACGCAGTTTGGCCTTTCTACATCCTCAGCCTCCTCCTCCTCCTCCTCCTCCTCCTCCTCCTCCTCCTCCTCCATCTCATCCTCAGCCTTCTTCTTCCTTTTGGGCCACCGAAATGGGGTCCGAGTCGATGGGGTCGAAGAATCGCGCAGCATCGTCACTGCATCTGGGATGAAACTCGATGTGGAGCTGGACTTTCTCCACGTGCATCGGCGATGCGGCGCGATCGTCCAAACCCATCTACTCAGACCCCATGCGGGAGGCCTCTACCCCCCCCCGATGTGAGAGGCCTCTATCCCCCCAGCTAATCGGACCCCACGAGAGCGACGCAGAAGAAGACAGGCTCGATTGTGCCGACATTCGCGCGCAAGCTGTCAGAGTCCTCGCTTCCAGCGTGGCGCCCCGACGGACGCGCGTGAGCGCCTCGCTTCCAGCGTGGCGCCCCGCGCTGGCGGCCCCAGTCAGCTACGCATGCCATCTCGCGCAAGGCCCGTTTCTGACCGTCGCTCATAAGGGACGCCAGCCTCCACTCCGCCACATGTACATACCCGTCGGTCATTGAAAGTACGTATTCTGGGATGCCCAGATCCCAATCCACTTGAGGCGCCGTCCTTCTTTCAGGAGCCGATGCGCTCGTGCTGTGTGTTGTTATTATCTAGCAGGGTCTGAGCCCAATTACCTTGTCCGCCTTCTTACTTCATGCATTCACATACTTCTTCGGACCGATGGGTACGTGTGTTTGTGTGTCTGTGTGTCTGTGTGTCTGCGTGTTGTGTGTTGTGTGGTAGATGTTGTGTGTTGTGTGTGTGTTGTGGGTGTGTGTATGTGTGTTGTGCATGTTGTGCGTTGTGGGTTGTGTGTTGTGAGTGGTGTGTGTGTTTGTGTTTGTGTTTGTGTGTTGTGTGTTGTGTTGTGTGTGTTCATGCGTGTGTGTGTGTGTGTGCGTGTGTGCGTGTGGTGTGCGCGTGGGCGTGCGCCTGCGCGTGCGCGTGCGCGTGTGCGTGCGCGTGCGCGTGCGCGTGCGCGCGTGTGCGCGTGTGCGCGTGTGCGCGTGTGCACGTGTGAACGTGTGCGGACGTGCGGGTCTGCGGATCTGCGGGTCTGCGGGTCTGCGGGAGTGCGGGTGTGCGGAGGGCGGATGGGCGGGTGTGCGGGTGTGCGGTTGTGCGGGCGTGTGGGTGTGCAGGTCTGTGGGTGTGCGGGTGTGTGGGTGTGCGGGTGTGTGCGTGTATGGGCGTGTGCGCTGGCCCGCCGCGGTCTGGCCCCGTCCTGAGCGAGCCCGGCTTCCTTCTCCCTCCCGCCCGCGCCGGGCCTTCCTCTCTTCCTCACGTGCACCGCGGCTTAATTACCACTCCTATGCCTTATATTTGCCCCATCCGCCAGCGCAGTCACTCTGCCTAGCCGCCGACGCAAAAAGTGGGTGTGTGGGTGTGTGGGTGCGTCGGTGTGTGGGTGCGTGGGTGTGTGAGTGTGTGGGTGTGTGGGTGTGTGGGTGTGTGGGTGTGTGGGTGTGTGGGTGTGTGGGTGTGTGTGTGTGAATGGGTGTGTGTGTGGGTGTGTGGGCGTGTGGGTGTGTGGGTGTGTGGGTGTGTGGGTGTGTGGGTGTGTGGGTGTGTGGGTGTGTGGGTTTGGGTGTGTGGGTGTGTGGGTGGGTGTGTGTGGGCGTGTGGGTGTGTGTGGGTATGTGGGTGTGTGCGTGTGTGCGTGTGTGGGTGTGTGCGTGTGTGGGTATGTGGGCGTGTGGGTGTGTGGGTGTTTGGGTGTGTGGGTGTGTTGTGTGTGTTGTGTGTTGTGTGTTGTGTGTGGGTTGTGTCTGTGTGTCTGCTTGTCTGTGTGTCTGTGTGTCTGTGTGGGTGTGTGAGTCTGTGTGTCTCTGTGTGTGTGTCTGTGTGTCTGTGTGTCTGTGTGCACATGTGTGTGCTGTGTGTGTGTCTGTCTGTGTGTGTGTGTCTGTGTGTGTCTGTGTGTGTGTGTCTGTGTCTGTGTCTGTGTCTGTGTGTGTCTGTGTCTGTGTGTCTGTGTGTCTGTGTGTGTGTGTGTCTGTGTCTGTGTGTGTCTGTGTGTGTGTCCGTGTGTGTCTGTGTGTGTCCGTGTGTGTGTGTCTGTGTGTGTGTCTGTGTGTGTCTGTGTGTGTGTCTGCGTGTGTGTGTGTGTGTGTGTCTGTGTGTGTCTGTGTGTGTGTGTGTCTGTGTGTGTGACTGTGTGTGACTGTGTGTGACTGTGTGCAGTGGGGGTGGGGGGGGGATATGGGAGTGGGTGTATGGGTGTGTAGTGTGTGGGTGTGTGTGCGAGAGTTAGTGAGTGAGTTAGTGAGTGCGTGTGTGTGTGTGTGAGTGAGTGGGTGAGTTTGTGTGAGTGGGTGAGTGAGTGTGTGTGTGTGTGTGTGCGTGTGTGCGTGTGTGTGGGTCTGTGTGTGTTGCGAATGCCTTATGGCCTGTGCCGCCGACCCTGAAGGCGAACGACGACGACAACGGCGGCGGCGGAGACGACGACGCTGACGTGGGCCAGAGTCCTCAGGGATGCTTCTTGGGGTCTCTTCGGACGGCTCTCGGGGGCATCTGGGGAGGAATCTCGCGGCCTCTTGGGAGCTTCTTTTGGGCCTTTTGGGAGCCTCTTGGGGGCCTCTTCGGGCCTCCTGGGGGCCTGTTGAGGGCCTCTTGGGAACTTAGACGGCCCCGACCCGCCAAGATGGCTCCAAGAGGCCCCCAAAAGCTCTTGTCCTTGCTTGCTACCTTGCAGACCTCATAACCGAGAAATTTTCGGATGCGTATCGCACCATTGAAATAGTTTGCGTAGCCAGTTTAGGATCAAGCCATTTGGGCGCAAGTTGCTGGTCAAGGCGAAACGTAGGGGACGTTCGTGCACATTGTGGCACCATTAAGACACAGTCTGCTGTGCACTACATGCGGGTCCGCCTGATGCTGTCCTGGGGGGACATGCGCGCGTCTGTTTTGAAGACTTACAGACCAGTATGCAAGCACAAACGAACGTCAGCGTTGACCATGTTCGAGCGGCGGCTTCCGGAAGGAGGAGGAGGAGGAGGAGGAGGAGAAGGAGGAGGGGGAGGAGGAGGAGGAGGAGGAGGACGAGGAGGAGGGGGAGGAGAAGGAGGAGGGCGAGGACGAGGACGAGGACGAGGAGGAGGAGGAGGAGGAGGAGGAGGACGTCCTGAAGCGGCCACGGCGCCCGATGCATGCTCTAGGCCCTCCGGCTCTCGGAAGTTCCTGGTGCACGATTGGCATCCTCGGCCGGATTTGTGTCTTATGCTGGCGCCTGCAGCCTCAGGCCCAAGGGTACCCCAGATTTCGTAATAAAGGGAGGGGGGTCTCATTTCGGGGGGGGGTCTCTTCCAGGCTATCTTGGAGGGCCTGGGGGGGTCTGGGGACGATGTTTTGGAGGGTTCTCCCACGGGGGAGGTCTGAAAAGGCTTGTCTTGGAGGGTCCAGACCCCCTCCCTTTTATTACGAAATCTGGAGTACCCAGAGGTCCCAGAGACAGAGAACATCCCAGATCTCGGCTCCGATCCTGCGACGACATTGGCGCCACCGCCGACGACGACGACGCGCGCTGGATGGCACCCCGCGCGCGTCCGCGCGACCGCTGCCCCGCGCGCGGGAGGTGGCCACGGCGATCGCCGCCTTCGCCGCCAACGTAGTGTACTTCGCCTGGATTTTCGCGTCCCTCCGCGGCCTGAAGGAGGGGCTCAGGGAGCGAGGCCTCACCGACCAGCTGAAGGCCAGGATCAACGGCCAAGGGTGTCCGCGGCTCGATTCGGTCGGCTGCTGCGTCGCTGCGCCCTTCTAGGCTGCCTTCGATCTGTCGATGTCGGTCGGCTTCGCTTTCGCTATCGGTTCTGTCGGTCTTAGCCTTGCTGTCGCCGTAGACTTCTGTGATCGAGGACGACGACGACGACGAGGGAAACTCCAGAGGTCCCCATATTTTTAGGCCTCCCAGATGGGGTCCGAGTAGATGGGGTCGGCGGATTCCGCCGCATCGACGATGCATCGTTGTTGCCGCTCGATGCGCGGCACGATTTTCTCCACGCCGACGTCGCCGATGCATCGTCGATACATCGGCGATCCGGCGCGATCCTCCGACCTCCACTCAGATCCCATCTGGCATACAGTCGGACCGAGGTATAAGATCGAGGTCGGCTCGGGGAGGGTGCCCCAGTGTTCTTCGTGTTTGTTGGATGGTCCAAGATTCTTGTGCACCCTGGGGAGGATGTCCTTGTGTGCTCTGTGTGTTTTGGCCGGCGGTGGGTCTCATGTTCCCGAGGGATGCTCTTCTGGCCTAGCTCCGACTGTACAGTGGGGGCCCGCATCAAGAAACCACGTGCTTTTCGTCAGGGTATCCTGGGTTTCTTCGCTCCTCGCGCTGCGCGGTGACTTCCCGCAGCCGTTGAAGGAGCTGCTACGTTCAGGGTGCTCCGGGTTTCCCCTCAGGTGCGCCTCGCGCACGGGTTCTCAGGGTTGGGTTTCTTGCGAGGGTTTCTTTCGGCCGCGCCCGCTCTGTTCCCAAGAATCGATACATTGTCATCGAAGCTGTTCAGAACATGCTGCTAATGTTTGTGGATCGACTCACATGCTATTCAGATGCGCAACGAAAAGTTGAATGCTGTTGTGACTTAATTGTATAGTCGATCTCATTGTCGACACTCAGCAATCGCCGACTGGAGACTTCGAAGGCTGGAAACCGGGGGACGTCAATGGACCACATCACCCGTCTTCAGCAGTCCGATCTTGGGCCCACCCAATTTCTCCGGTTCCGACCCCCACCTCTGAGAGCCCAGGCCGGACAGCGGATAGCGTTTCACCATGTCCTGCATCTTGGGCATTTCGGCCCCGCCCTGCAGCACCCGCGCGGTGCATGACGCAGGCCGAGTCCGTGTCCGTGTCCGTGTCCGTGTCCGATCCCAGGCCCAGGACCCAACCAAGGTCGGCAAGGTGTTCGCCCGACACCCCCGCCAGAAAGATGGCATTTCTCGACGACGACGTGAATGCATAAACATACACTGTTGCATTTCCGCGCCAGGGGCGGCGCTGAAGGCGCCGCCAGTGGGCCCAGCGCTGATCCAAGAACTCTTCGCGAAGCGCGAGAAGTTTATGTTCAGGCCGGCTTTTCTTCCGAGACGTCCTCTGGGACTGGGACCAGAAGTCTCTCGGGGGCCCCCACACGGGGCGGTGACCACACCGTGCGGTGAGTAGGTGGGGATTCGGGGTCACCGCACGGTTTTGGGACTCGGGCCCCTCTCCGAGGACGTCACGGGCGACAGGGGCCTCCAGGGTCCCAAAGCCGTGCGGTGACGGACCGTGCGGTGCGGTGTTGGGGGATTTCGAGGTCACCGCACGGTGTGTCACCGCACGGTCTCGGGACTCCAACGTCTCCCACGCCCCCCCCCCCTCCCCCGCAGGCGGTCTCCACATTCGCCAACGCCCTCGTCGTCGCGGCCGTCCTGGGGTGCCTCGGAGGGGCGCTCCAGATCATGGACAGCGCGGACAGCCTCCACGTATCCTTTTGTTTTCGGGGAAGAAGGGGGGGTCTATTCTCACAGGGAGAGAAGGTACCCATACCTTGGAGGGCCCAGCCTACCTGCTTCTGGAAGACCAACATCTGGGGCCGATGCCAAATACCGTTATCACGTCCTATGGACACATGGAGAGTCTATGGACACATGGGTGCCGTAACGTCCGTAGGCATTTTCGGGGTGGATGCGTCTATGGACAATATCGTCATTGCGTTGGGCGCGCTGCAAGGTCGAGACAGGGTAGTAGATCCATCTACGGCATGGTTCTGTACTAGAGCAGGTCCCACACGGTACTCCATCCCACACCGCGACCCTTCCCTCGTGTTCGCCTTTTGCGGCTTCCCGGGAGGCCCTCGTCGCCACCGCTGGATTCGCCTCGAAAGTCTGTCAGGACGCACCCTGGGAGAGGTCCAGGGAGGAGCCGTGTCCGGTCCGTACCTATCAGTTCCCCAATGCTCCAGTTCCTCCTCAACGTGTCCTCCCTTGCTGGGAAGGAGATCCTCGGACGGGGCTAGGACGAGGTCAAATCCGTTCCAGAGCGTTCTGGAGCGCTCTCAGAGCGTTCTGGAACGCTCTGAGAAGGCCGCGTCGCACGAGACATCCTCCAGATCCGCAGGATCTCAGAGGTTCTCGACATACTCTCACCCGAATTTGTCCTCGGCCTGGCCTCGCCTTAGATTCCCCAATCAGAGCTTGCCTCTGAAGGGGTCCTAGCGGATTCATATGGTTAGGTGAGATGGGTCGCTGATTTCGGTCGCTTGCCCGGATGCCCGGGGGTGCCCAGAGGTGCCCGGGAGTGCCCGGTGGTGCCCAGGTGTCCGGGTGCTCTATCGCCTTATAGCCCTATAGCCATATAGCCTTATAGCCCTATAGCCCTATAACGATATAGCCATATAGCCCTATAGCCTTCTAGCTATATAGCCCTATATCCCTATAGCCCTATAGCACTATAGCCCTATAGCCCTATAGCCCTGTAGCCCTATGGCCCTATAGCCCTATGGCCCTATAGCCCTACAGCCCTATAGCCCTGTTGCCCAATAGCCCAATAACCCAATAATCCTACAGTCTTTATAGCCCTACAGCCCTACAGCCCGATTGCCCTATAGCCTGATGTCCCAATAGCCCTACATTCCTATAGCTCCCACAAAACATCAGATTGTGTTTGTTCTCTGGTATCATTATTTGTTCCGTCCTTCTCCTTTTCCCGCCCTCCTTTTGGTCGTCCTTCCTCCCTCCGTACATTTTATGCATAATACATATATGTATGTATATATATATATGTATGTATGTATATATATACATATAGGCATATACATTTACATATACATGTACATGTGTATGTACATGTGTATGTACATGTACATGTACATACACATATACATATACCTATACCTATACATATACATATACCTATACATACATACATGCATACATGCATGCATGCATACATACATACATACATACATGCACACACATACATACATACATACATACAGACAGACAGACAGACAGACAGACAGACAGACAGACAGACAGACAGACATACATGCATGCATGCATACAAACATACATACATACATACACACATGCACACATACACACATACACACATACATACATACACACATACACACATACACATACACATACACATATATATATATATACAAATGTAGCTCTCTCTCTCTCTATATATATATATATATAAGTACGCCCGGGGTGGGCCTGGAACCATGGCCACGGTGAAGCACGGGGGCTCCGAATTGGCCCCGTGGGCGCATAGATGTCCCCAAAATTGATACGGCAATCTGCCGGACCGGTCCATCACACCCTGAGAGCGCTGAAAATGCATTGTGAACGGCCTCCAAAGGCTTCCAGGCTGCGCCAGGACGGCCCTGTCAGCACCCGAGGCCCCAGACGAGTGCCCCAGGAGGTCCAAATCGTGTTTTTTCCCGCTTTTTCCATGTTTGGGGGATCTTCCATTTTTCGAGTTTACAATCGAAGACGGCCCAAGAGGCCCACAAGACCGCCCCAAAACAGGCCAAGAGGCCCCGAGGAGGACCCCAGCCCAACAGGGCTCCAAAACGGCTGCCAGGGGCGCCCAAGACAGCCCAAGAGACCCTAAAGACGGCCCGATGATGCGCTCAAGAGGGAGAACCTGAACCTTCTCGCCCCAAGAGGCTCTCAGGAGGCCCCAAGATCGCGCCAAGACGGCCCCGCGCAGGCTTCAGATGGCGCTCGAGGCCCCAGACGAGTGCCCCAAGAGGCGAAGATCTGTGATTTCTTTTGGGGGGTATGTTTTCCCCCACATGCTTAGTGAAGTGTGTGTTGTCTCCCCACCCGCTCACACACGCGTCTCACATATACATACACATACGTTATCTTCTTTCTCGCTCGTCGTCGTACTGCCGCACACACACACACATCTACAAACGTCATACAGATACGCACGTACAGCCGCACAGCACATGACACATATACTATACACCTAGATAACAGATGCAGCCAAAGAGCTCGCAGTTCGTGGAATGCGCGGCATGGTCGCTGGCCATGGCAGGCGTGGCTTTCCCTCGACACAACAGGGGGTGCGCGAGGGTGTGGACGCTAACACCGCGCATGCAACACATCTACGACAAACGCATGAGACGCAGGCGTAGCACTCTCGACACGAGAGGGGGTGCGCAGGGGGTGGTCCCTGAGCGCGGCCTCTATGCGGGCCGTGGCGCAGGGCACGACAGGCGTGGCACTTCCTCCACACCAGAGGGAGCGCGCACGGGGCTGGTCCTTGAGCGCGGACTCCACGCGGGCCGTGGCGCAGGGCAGGGCAGGCGCGGCACTCTCTCGGCACCAGGGGGGGCGCGCAGGGGGTGGTGTCCGGGGGTCGTGGTAGTTGCCTCCTGGGGGGGTCCTGTTTAGTTCGCCTTGCCAGTGGCCACATGAGTACCCTACCACCGCCCCCCACGATTTCTCAGGGGGGGTGGGGGTTAATTTCGTTCAGGAGGTCCCGAGCGGAGTGAACTCCCACCCCCCTTACAAAATCGTGAGGGGTGGGAGTAGGGTTCACACACTGCCACCTATCTTGCAGGGCGTAGGGATAGTAGGGTGTCGCTGCCCAGGGGTCGTGTCTAATTGCCTCCTCTTGGGTCTCCTGGGGCTTCCTGGGACCACTCGGTGTTGCCAGGGCCATCGTGGGGTTACCTGGGGCTTACGGCTGTCGGGTATGGGTTTTCCCATTATTGAAAAATTTAGAAAATTGCGAATCATGGGAAACCGGGGGCCCGGGGCGTGGTTTCCCGAAGTTTGATTTCCGAACCATTGGGAAACATGGAATCACCACGAAAGAGAGATCTCGCTCGTTGTGAATCAACTTTTCCGATTTTTCGGAATTCAGGGAAATGTATAATCATCACAAAACATGATTTCGTGGTGAACCCAGGTTTCCCATAGTCCTGAAATTTGGGAAACCTGGAATCACCACGGAAAAAAATGCTTCTTCTGGTGAACCCAAGTTCCCCGTAATTCTGAATTATGGGAACCTTGGAACCATGAAACAAAAAAGTTGTTGTGGTGACCCAAGCTTCCCATAATTCTGAATCTTGGGAAGTGTGGAATCACCGCGGAAGAAGCGGCTTCTCGTGAGAATCCAGGTTTCCCACACTTGTGACTTATGATACAAGTGGAATCACCACGAAAATTCAGGGCTTCTGTCGTGGACCCAGGCTGCCCAGAATTCGGAGCTAGGGGAAACACAAGCCTGGAATCACCACGAAAGAACGTGTTTTCATCGTGAACCCAGGTCTTTCATAATTCGGAATTATGGGAAGCCGAGAATCACACCAAAAAAGGAATGGCTTTTCGTTGCGAATCCAAGTCTCCCATGATTCGGAATCATTGGAACCTTGGAGTCACCACAAAAAATCGGTTCGCTGGTTTCTTATAGTTCAGAATTCAGAGGAACCTGGAAACCCCACGAACACTTTTTGTTGGTGGTGATTCCAGGTTTCCACTAATTCAAACCCCGTATCGCAGGCAGTCGTCTGGCCAAAGCTGGAATCACCACAAAATCAATTGGTTTTTCACTGTGAATCCAAGTTTTCCAGAGTAGGTTTTGTTTTGTCGTGATGCGGGGATTCCCGCAATTCGAACCACCCGAGGGTTCCCGGGCTGTCGTTTTTCGTGTGAATCCAGGTTTCCCATAATTCGAAAGTATGGGAAGTTTGGAATCACCACGAGAAGCAATTTTTCCCGGTGATTCCAGGATTCTCGCATTTCGAACTCTGCAGGGGTTCCCGGGCAGTCGTCCGGACATGCGTTTTTCATAGTTCGGAATTATGGAAAAGGTCCATTCACCACAAAACAAATCGAGATTCTCGCACAATTCAATAGCATGGGAAACCTGGAATCACAACGAAACTTGTCTTTTGGGGGAAATTCCAGGCTTCCCAGAATTCGAACTCGCCAGGTGTTCCTGGGCGGTCGTCCGGCCATGGGTCTCTCATAGCTCGGAATAATGGGAAGCTTAGAATCACCACGACCAAAAAACATGTATTTCGCTGTGAACCCAGGTTCCCCATGATTCGGAATGATGGGAAGCTTGGAATCACTACGAAAAACCATCCTTCTTCGCGATGATTCCAGAACTCCCCTAATTCGAACCCTGCAGGGATTCCCGGGCAGTCGTCCGGTCATGGGTTTACCATTCCCACCTTTCGGAATTACAGGAAACTTGGAATCACCACCAAAAAAAAGGTCTTTGTAGTGAACCCACGTTTCCAATGATTTCGGGATTGTAGAACACATGGAATCATTACGACAACTTTTGTTTATAGTGATTCCAGGTTTCCTGTAATTCAGACCCACCAGGTATTCAAGGGCAGTCGTCCGGCCATCGGTTTCCCATTATTCGGACTTATGGGAGACATGGAATCACCACAAAAAATGTCTTCTCGTGGTGATTCCAGGTTCCCCATGATTCGGAATGA